GCCCGCTGGTGTGCCAAAACTGCACATGAGAAATATCTACAAGTCATCGGCTCCTGCTGATGCATCCCTGGGGAGCAGCCGGCAGCCCGGCCCCCTGTAGCTGCCTCAGCTCTGCCAGCAGCACTCTGCATCCCCCAAAATAGCTGCCACGCTGATGAATCTGGACCTGGAATCAAAATAGCCAAGTTGATCTTCGGGATAATTAGTCATGCACAGCTGAGCTCCCAGTCAAAGCAGCTCAGCCACCACCACGAAGCAGAGGAGACCACGATGCAGCTCCAGCTTTAAATAAGGGGGTAGCTGCAAGCCCTGGAAAACTAAACATCAGGGTGCTTGGTCGGAATTGCTCTCAGGCCAGGGATCCATGGGGCAACGCCATGGACGGGCTGGAGAGACCAGCTTGCAGCATGTAATCAGGTAGGTGGGCAGCTCGCCCAGCAGGCACTGGCACGCATGGGTCCAGCAGGAGCATCTGAGGCCAGGCCAGATCACTCGTCCTTTGGGGATGAAGAGAGGGAAGGAAACCAGATGACCCAAGGGAAATCACCTCTCAGAGCAGCCCTTCTCCCTTCCCAGGAGAGAGCATTCATGGTGAACTTCTGGAACTAATTATTTTAGTAAAAACCACCTGGCATCTCATTCCTGAAGTGTGGAATGGCTCACACAAGTTCCCCTGCTACACAATTTTGCATGTCAAAAACCATCAACTTTCCCTAAATAAGCAGAGGTAAAAAAGCCAGCAGAGCTCAACGGTGTTGGACGAACCTTCTCAGAGAGTTGGTGCTTGTTCATATGGTCCAAGCCCAACATCAGCAAACACTCCTGGTCCAGAGAGACCCCTCCATTACATCTGAATGCAGTGGTACCAGTGATACAAGAGCTCAGTTAATACTTCTGAGGGTGAGATGGGAGGATAATCTGCAGCCTATAAATAGGACCAATAAACCACAATTACAAACTCTGCTGAGACAATTCATTTATCCAGATGTTCCTATCATGTCATTCTCAATTGAGCAGTAAATGATGGGCCTAACGGGCATTTCTCCGCTAAATGCTGCAGACGAGAAATCACAGCTCCAAACCTGATGCTGCTGATGGTACAGGTGCTGTCAGAGGCAAAACCTTCTTCAAAAATTTCTCATTCTTGTTTCAGACAGGTTTTAAGCATCAAAATTCCGCAGTTTGGGGGAAGATATGGAGAGGAGACGAGGCTCTAGGCAGGTGTTTTATTTCTATTTCTTTGTCAAGTCCTTCCCCCTAAAGTCAGAGGGGCGACCAGCCAGCCTATGCCACCCTCTGTGTACTCCTGCTGGGACATCTCCTAAAAGTACTTTTTCTTCTAAAAAAGGATGGTGAGTTCCATGCACACCCGGGGAGCAGTGGTGTCAAGCGAGGTGGCCACCTGAAACCCATATCCCTGCAGAGCGAGTACATTTACAGCATTAGCTGAGCTATTTCTACCTGATTTTCCCAGTGTCCTGAGGGTACGGGAAGATCAGAGGAATGTCATCTCTTAAATAACCTGAGCCTTGTGTTTGCACGGAGCAAATGGACTCACACAATCAAATTAAACACTGCAAGTTTATCAACATTTCCTTCAAGTGCCTTAAGGATAACAAGTTTAGTAGAAGCTATTTAGAAAAAAAAACAAACAGGATGGCGGAGATAAAGAACAAGCTCTTTAATACACCTCTGCTTCCTGTGCAATGGCTTCACTGATGGCCTGGAGGAGGGGATGGATTGCATCTCATCAAGCTCGCAGATAGCACCAAACTAGGACCAAAAGCAAAGTCCTGCCCCTGGGACACACTCAGCCCCTGCACAGGGACAGCCTGCAGAGCTGGGATGGCCCCAGGGGTGGGAACTCACCCCCAGCACAGCCAGGAGACCCAGGGAGGTGGTTATCCCCTTCTGCAATTCACCACATCTGGATGCTGCCTCCAAAAGTGTCAACAGAGGGGGACAAGTTCTGCGGAGACCCCCAAGGCAGCTGGGGGCTGGAGCAACGGCAGCAGCCCTGGACATTTTTGAGGACCAGATGATGTTTCTCAGAACCAGAAAACCTCCCACAGTCTTTCCACTCTCTTTTATTCCCCTCCATTTTATCACCAATAAAGGGGAAGGAAAACCCAAGCTGTCCTTTTCAAAAGCTATCTATCTATACATGTATGTCTGTTTACATATATGAATATATATATATTTTAATTTGGCGCAGAAGAAAGGGGCATGAAGCAGGAAATCAACCAAAATCTTACAAAACCTCTAATTTTTGTGCAGAACACTCATGGCATACGGCAACATCTGCTTGCCATTTCCAACTGACCTCAATCCCGTTCTTGTGTCGCGAGAGCTCATTTTTGTCTGCTGTTTCATTTTCCTGGAGAAAAGCCATGGCACAACAATGGTGTACAATGTGGAAAGCCAGCTCACAGTGGAGAATGGCTTTTTATTTTCTCTTTTCAGCCCCTCACACCAACATACAGACACCCTTGACTGGTCTTTGCAACTTCAATCAAAACCATCTTGCCAGGAGAACAATTTATGCCACGATGATACTGAAAAATTCAGCTCTGTTGATTATAAACAGGAAAGAGCTAACCCAAAGAAAGCATAATTCAGGCAGTTTGCAATGAAAACCCAAAAGAAATGCCAAAAAAGCCAAAAACAAATCCATAGAGCAGCACATTCCCCAAATGCAACATCCCTTCTCTCCCTGATGATGCTTCATTAAGTAGGGTTCTCTTATCACCCTCATTGTCCCCCCAAGAATGCCGCTGAGTGCTCCACCAGGAAAGCAGACCACATCTCCGCTCCTCCTAAGTCATAAATCACTGCTAATTCTCTGACATTGATTACAAACAGGAGACTTAGCAGAAGACTGCCATGCTGAACCATGCCAGCCTCTCCCTCTAGTTGCTAAGAAAAATCAACATGCAACTTTTGGAAGTAGCAGGCGAGCCAGCAGGTCCAGTGGGATGGCCTGGAATTTTCTCATAGAGAGGGTGTGAGGGCATCTCAGTAAGTTATGGGGTTTTCAAGCTGAGCTGAGGCATTTTGGACTGTCTGGAGAACCTGAGTGCTGAGAAAAATCTCATGGAAAATACGTCATCAAGCAGTGAGTCACCAGAAGAGGTAATGGAGCCATGACAGGGATCCCAGCCTTATTAACACATTGGTAGCCAGCATGTAGCAGATAGCTGTGGACTTCTCATATTGAAGCTCCATCACTGGGGCACGTGGTTTCTTCATACATACATAACTGTATGGAGCAAGACGGCCATCCTTATTTCCATACACTGCTTAGGTTGGGCTCCTTGAAAGCCCATTTTATCACAGAATGGCTGAGGTTGGAGAGGACCTCTGGAGGCCACTTCATCTTGTCCAAATGCCCCTGCTCAAGCAGAGCCACCTGGAGTTGGTTGTTCATGACCACGTCCAGATGGGTTTTGAGTATCTCCAAGGACAGAGACTCTACAATGTCCCTGGGTGACCACTGCCAGTGCTTGGTCACCCTCACAGTGAAAAAGTGTTTCCAGATGTTCAGATGGAACCTCCCATGCTTCAGTTTGTGCCTATTGCCTCTGGTCCTGTCACTGGGCACCACTGAGAAGAGCCTGGCGCCGTCCTCTTTGCACCCTCCCTGCAGATATTTATATACCTTAATAAGATCCCCTGAGCCTTCTCTTCTCCAGACTGAACAGCCCCAGCTCTCTCATCCTTTCCTTGCAGGAGACATACCCCAGTCCCTTCATCATCTTTGTGTTCCTTCACCGGACTCTCTCCAGTATGTCTGTATCTCTCTCGCACTGGGGAGCCCAGAACTGGACCCAGAAATCCAGGGGTGGCCTCACCAGTGCTGAGTAGAGGGGAAGGATCACCTCCCTTGGCCTGCTGGAAACCTCCTAATGCAGCCCCAGATACCATTCTTTGGCACAAAGGCATGTTTCTGGCTCAAGTTCAACTTGGTGGCCAACAAGACCCCCACAGCCTTTTCTGCTGAGCTGCTTTCCAGCTGGACCGTTCCCAGCATATACTGGTGCCTGGGGTTGTTCCTTCCCAGGTGCAGGACTTTGCCCTTCCCCTTATTGAACTTCATGAGGTTCACATCAGCCCATTTCTCTAGCCTGCCGAGGTGCCTCTCGATGGCAGCACAACCCTCAGCCACTCCTCCCAGTTTGCTGTCACCTGCAAACTTGGCTGAAGGTGCACTCTGCCCCATCACCCAGACCATTAATGAGGAGTTTAAGCAGGACTGGATCCAGCACTGACCCCTGGGGTACACCACTAGTTGTTGGCCTCCAACTAGTCTTTGTCCAATGATCACCACCCTCTGGGCCTGGCTGTTCAGCCAGTTTTCAACCCACCTCATTGTGTGCTCATCCAGCCCACACTTCATCAACGTGTCTGTGAGTATCTTATGGGAGACAGTGTCAAAAGCCCCACTGAAGTCCAGGTAGACAATGTCCACTGCTCCTCCCCTCTAAGCCCACCTTGTGGCCCCTCCACAAGCAACCAGGATTGCGAAGCCCTTTCAGCTGGAGCCAGCAGGGACGGAGCCAGGGTAGCATCAACAGCAAAGCAGAGTGAAACAGCACATTTGTTTCCCCCTCATGAAGTAAAACCCACCACTGACCTCCTTACACCCCAAAACCAAAGATGGGTCCAGCCGGTCCCGGGTTGCCAAGAAGGGAGGGTTGAGCAGAGGGATGTCACTTACCCCACAGTCTCATCCCAGTCACACCAGAGCCGCTGCCCGATGCCCTCCATGCTGAGCTGGAACTGCTTCAGGCAGTAGTGCCGGATCATCCAGCCATAGTCCGCCTCCTGGCACGCCGTCGCCGCAATGAAGTGATGGGCTGGAAGACAGACGAGGGGTGAGCGGGGTTAGGCTCTGCCGCAGTGGGTCGTGGCACAACGACAGCCACTTCACCCCCACTATGGAGCCCCCCACAGCTGGTCATGCAGAGGACATCTGCCAAAGCAAAGGTGGCCATCAGAGAAACCCCACTCTCAACCAGCTTCTTCAAAACCTCCTTCTCAGGGTTTTATTTCCCTCTTCACATCCCTCTGACCCTGCAGCATCGTCCTCTGTTAATCTTTCAAGTGCTTGACGCTAGACAAATCAATTATTCAAAACACGCCAGGTAAGTCATAAATAAGTAAGGACACAGATTTATTCTCTGCTGATCACTTGACACACATCTTTGGACTTAAAATTCCCAGCTTTTCAGTTTACGAAAAGTAAGGGTGTGGACGAAGTTGGAGAATAACCCCAAGGCTCCCTGCTGCTGCTGAGCAAAGGACCCCTTAAAAATCATCGGCACAGTGCCACACTTGGAAACAAATCCCCATCTCCAATGGAGCGCAGGGACAAGTTCAGTGACATTCATCTCTGGCTGCATGGTCCTGATTTAATTTATCTCTGGGTATACGTCCCTGCTATATGGTGCCTTCTGGTTTGGGACTAGAGGAGGAAGAGATGCTGCTTATGTCCCTACAAGTTTGTGCACAATTAGTGCAGTTCTGGCAGTGAATGGAAAGGCAAAATTACAGTAATGCTAAAAGTGAAGAGGGAGCAGGCTAGAAGACAAAAAAACTTTGGAGGAATGACTTACTGAGCCTGGCTATAAATAATACCTTTCCCTTGGTCCCAAAGTGCCAGCTATGCCTTTGCAGCTCCTGGAGTACATTGCAGGCAGTCACCGCATACCAGCTCTATTTTTTGCTACACATGAATAACTCTGAGCAAAAAAAGTGGGGCTGTATTTTTATTTTTATTTTTATCTTATTTTTTAACAAAACAGAAATCAGCTCCTTATTTAGTGGTCTGCATGTGCAAGCCATGGGACATCGGAAGCGGCGCCTGCCTGGGGGATGCCTTCCTTGAGCAGGCCCTCTGCAGCCCCGAAATCCTCGGAGCGCTTAGGTACCAGCATCCTGCGGCAATGGGTGGGAACTTGGGACCCGCTGGGCCATTTGGGTGGCGAGGGGCCCCCTGACCCTCGGGCAAAGCTTCTGGACGGCTGCAGCGCTCCCACGCTGCCTCCCACCACAGCAGCCACTTTGGTCCAGCTCGAGATGAGGCAATGTGAATTATCAAGCCAAGGGAAGGGAGTTAAGGAGCATTAAACCCTCACCGTTGCAGTAATAAAACTGAGTTTATTGTAATCTAAAGCTCTCCCCTACTGACATCACCCAGGAGCTCGCCCTACAGCACCTGCGCAATACCGCCTCAGCCAGAGGCAAGCCCCGCTCCGAAATGGGAAGGTTTGGGATGCTGAAGCAAAGCGCCGAGCGAGGAGGAGGGAAGGTGCAATCATTTTACATGACAGCTGGACTGCAAATCTCAGTCCGGGAAGGCTGAGGGATGATTGATGGCTGGGAAGCTTTCCTCCCCTTCCCATCCTTTCAAACCTGGATGAATCACGTGGACAAGTGACATGGCTGAGTGAGCACCAGCAGCCAAGGGGAAGGTTCAGGTGCCACCCCGCGGGGTCACCCCTCGGTGAAGACTGTGCACCAGACTGCAAAGGACAAGCACCCTGCAAATATTATGCCCATCATGTGGCCGGACAAACAGCGTGTAGAGAAAGTGCCGCCGGTGAACGCACCGAGTGTGGAGCAGGAGAGAGACGCATACGGGGAAAAAGGAGAGCAGGGGAGGTGAACAGATTAAAAAGCAGCCGGAGGAGCAGCCAAGGGGAATGAGGCGAAAAGGAGGAAATGGAGGCAGGCAGAAATGAGTGAGACACACAAAGCACAGAGAGAAATTGAGGAAGGCAAAGCCACTTTAAGAAATTCAAGAGCGATACAGCATGAGAAGAAAAAGCAGAAGTTAAGCGAGCACAGCCAGGCTGCCCTTCGCCTGCCTTTACTCCTCCCCGCTCCCAATCGGCACGCATGAGCGCGGAGACAAGTCATCGCTGGTACCATAAAAACAACTATCCTTAGAGATGCCCAAAGATTTTCTGATGACCGCGCATCTACTCCTGCAGGACAGACCTAGAGAAAAACATGTTAACAGGCAGCTGCACCTTGGGTGGGGAGAGAAGAAACACTAAATAACCATGGGGACGAAGCAGCTGAGAACTGCAAACTGGCTGCAATGCCTGCTTGAGCGGCTGCAAGCCACGTGTATCTGGTAGTCAGCACGAAAACAAGCCCTACGGTTGAAAGAAAAAAAAAAAAACAACAACAAATGGAACCAAACCAAACCAAGTAAAAACAAAAACCCAGGGAGCTCTAAGCACTTGCCAATCAAAGCAGCTCAAAAGACACTGCTGGTTCGGATCCAGCTGTGAGCTGAGTAGAGGTGGGCAGCCAGGAGAGAGCACGGGCTTCGTCATCCCCGAGCATGTGACTCACACGCATGCACTTTGTTCCTGCCTCTTGTCTCAGCTCTGAAGGTCCTTTGCAGGCACGTCACCACCTTTCTTCCCCTCCAGCCCGGCAGTTCTTCGCAATGTTCTCCAGGAGCTCTGACTTCCCCACGAGGACTTGCCTCCTGCAGTGGTGAGCACTGCAGGTGCCAACAGCCAAGGCTTGGCTTGGTAACCCCAAGAAGCAGCGCAGAGACCGTGCTCATGGAAGACGTCTCCCACACCACATCTCCCATAGCTACACCTGCAGTCTGTCTGCAAATCCTTTTCCCTGGGGGACTGGGGAAACCAGACCCATCCACCAATGACCGAGACGTTTCACAATGACGCTAGATTTTTAACATTGTGAAGGGCTCTTTTGTTTCACACATCAGAGGCAAAGAGCATCCAAGAGGAGCAAGGCTCACCAGAGCCTGTTGTGTAAATGCTGCAAAGATGAAGCTGGGCATGGCAAGGCCGAAAAGCTCTTTTGTTTTGGGCTGGCCGGGGGAAACTAGCTTTAGCTTTAAATGCACATTTTAAGGTCAAAGTGAGGAGAAGCTCCTGCCACGTTTCTACACGGTCCTCACTTAAATCCATGGATATTTCCCTGCTGCTTCCCAGATTTCCACCAAACCCATGTTTATCGACATGTCAGGCTGGGGTGGGCTCAGGGTTTGTAACAACAGGGGAAAAAAAAGAGGGAGGGATTTTTTTTTTCCTCCTGGCTCTCATTCCAGAAGGTTTTCCTTCCCCCCTCAGCCCTGCTGACAGAGGAGGCATAAGTCAGCTGCAGGGAGCTGTAAATAACTGCGCTCTGGCACGGTCACGTCTCTGTACTTAACAGCATCCATTTGTGAAGGCTGTAAGGAGCTGCTTAAATGAGCTCCAAAACCCGACTATACTGAGGCTGAGTTGCCTCCAAGAGCTCCCCTCTCACACACCCCCCGTGCTCCCCTTCCCTTGGGAAAAATGGCATCGGGAGCTGCAGGAACGCAGTGGTCCCCTGGGAACATTCCACCGGAGCCATGTGGTACCTCCAAAGCCCCACTTGGTCTTTAGGTGCCACCTAGACATGGAGCAGGGGGTTATCTCTGTCTTGCCACCTTTCCCCTGCTCATCCATCCACCTAGGTGATACTACTGCGAGCCGTCAAAAATTACTCCCTGCAGCATGCATGTGCGCTGCCTCCTGCATGCAAAGATGTCTTCTGCTGGAAGGAGGCACCATCTGATGTGGTGCTTATCTCAGAGCAAGGACCCGCACAACTGTTGATGAACGCCCTTCCCTGCCAAGAGGAGCACTGATTGTTTGATAAAGGGCAACTTTAAGAACCCTTAATTTGCCTCCTCACAGGGAACATCGGGACAGCAGCAGTGAGGAAGTGATTAGAGGCTTTTTCAGGCATCCCAGATACTCTTGATTGCCCTGGGATTGATGTCCTGGAGAGTCCCAGCAAATGTCTACCAGAGCTCAGCTTCCTGAGGGTTAGCTGCAAAAAACCCAAGTCACTCATGTATTTCAGCAGAAAAAGAGTTTGCCCTAAATTGTTACAAAAATTTCAGGAAAATCACTGGACTTTCTTCCATTGCACTTCTTATAGCTGGGCTTTGGGCCAGAGCTCTGGGCTCACAGCTTGAGAAAACAACTTGGTGGACACCACCTCCTCCTGCGACTGCTGCAGCGCCCATGCACTTGCCACAGCGACGGTTCACCAGCAGAAAGCCCTGAGCTTTCTCTGTCAGAAAAGTGTTGCATTTCACGTCACTGTCCCCCTGTGGAATTTTTCAGTCTCTGGCCATTTTCTCCTCAGTTGTCTGGGTCTTCTTGGGCTCATCTTGCTGGGACATGCAGCTAACCCCAGGGGGAGGAGGAGGCAAGGAGGACCACGGAGCCCGAGAGCAGATGAACATTTCAGGCTGGCATGGCATAGGAGGTCAAAGCGATGCCAGCGCTAACAGACCTAGTTCCCAGGCATCACGACGGAGCCTGTCAGCATTTTTTGCAAACCTCGCCATCCGGGCCCTCTGCCATTTGGCCTCTGGATGCTGCCCATGACGTGCACACTGGGAATATATGGACACTTTGGAGCAGTGAGTCCCAAGTCACATTTCTGGGGAGATCCCACCAAGGTGGACTCACATGCCACGTCCTTCTGGGCTTGCTGGGTTTCTCCAGATGCAGCTGGGGCAGTACCAAGCCATTGGCCACGTGGCTCCTGCAGATGAAGGCTACTCACTCAGTGCCTGGACCCCCAGTTTGCAGTCTCATCCAAGAATGAAGCCCTCAATGGAGGCTCTTATACAGGATGGCAACTGGAGACATCCTAATTTATGAACTTTTTCAGTGGCACCCACTGGGTGCTATTGGAGGGGCTGCCAGACCCCCCCAGCATGGCTGTAGCTCGCTGCTATTCAGCAAACGGGGGAGCTTGCCTCCCCCTAACACATGACACCCCTTGATGGTGCTGGATGGAGGATGAAACTATTTGACTTTGTGTTCAGAGTAGTCACCAGACCATCCTGGCTACAGCTGGACTGGCAGGTTTATCTTGGTGGAAACCATTCAGGGCTTCATAGAAAAGAGCAGAAAATAGTCAGTTATTCCATCCAAAAGCTTAGAGGTCTCATTAAACCCCAAAAGATCCCAGATAATTGCAAAGTAACACTCAGCAGAGCTGTCAATGAACAAGCCACACGTAGCTAAACCCAAGCACCAGCAAAGCTCAAGGAAAAGACATTCCAGTATCTTCTCCTGGGCTTCTCCCAAATGCTGTGACCCGCCCTGTGAAATGATTAGCCCTCTCAACAAGCCCGAGATGAAAACAGTCTGTTTTCCCCTCCTCTTCAGTGTGGTGGTTTGCTCTTTTATTGAGAACAAACCTCGTGGTTTGGACCCGGTTGCAAAATAAACCCAACAAGAGCTGGAAATCTGGAGCTCATTTGCTGAGTGTGCTTCCAGTCCTGCCTTTGCCACGTCCCCATCCAGCGGGATGAATCCTGCCCTGGCAGGTACCAACCCATGAGATTAAGCTAGGGAAAGCCCAGATGGACGGATGTGCTGCCAAACCTGGCACTCACCAGCTGGGAACGATGCTGGGAAGGAGACCTCTTAGCTTGTGGCTAACCCCAAATCCGATTTTGTCCCACTGTCCTGTGGCCAACATCCCCTGGCCACCGTAGACTTGAAGCTGTCCCTGTCGGGTCACTCACCTTGGTGAAAAAAACCTTCAGTGGGGACCACAGCCCTATGTCCCCCTTGGAGATAGCACATGGCTCTGGGAAAGCAGGTTTTGAGTGGGAGGATTTTGCACGCACAGCCCTGGGAAGCCTCGAAAGCCGCTCTGTACGTGGGGAGCACATGTTCATTAGCCTCACGCTGCCTCATTTTGCTGTTCAACCCTTCCCTTCGTGTTGGGACCCACATTTACAAACAGACCAGCTGAGCCCGTTCTCATCGAGTGCGGTTCTCGGCATCTTTGCTTTCACTCAGCAGAGCCTCCACGTCCGCTGCTAATTAGTAACTCAACATAATTAAGCTCCAGTTTTCATCTTAAGCCTGGTGAGCATCTGGTACCTCCCCCAAAGGGGCTTGGGCACCCTTGGGAGCATCCCCGAGTCACACTGGAGCAGATCCCCTCCTGGCACCCCAGTGCTCTGCCCGGATTGAAGCATGATGCCATGGGAAAGATCAGATCCAGCCCAAAACTTCTCATCCAAAATACTTGTGGGAGGGTGGGGAGACGACATGGGGGAAGGAGGCAGAAGATGAGCGTGAAAAACATCCTGGTTTGCAGCCCAAAAATGGCAAATTTGGGGGGTTGGGGGGGTGGGATGGGTGTTTGCTTTGTAAAGTCAAAGCCAACAAACCCAGCCCTGCTGGCGGCAGCAGATGGTTTTGTGGGGGAGCAAGTGCTCACAGGACTAAAAATAAACCCACTGCTCCCAGGAGCGCTCGCACGTAAAGGGCTGGGCTGCGCTCCGGCTGGCGCCCGCAAACTGTTGACGTGGGAACTGGCAGCATCACTGCAAACCTGTCCCAGGGACCTCCCTGACCACCTGCCTGTACCTATCCACACCTTCTCCCAAACCTGATTTTGCCCTTCCCAGACACAGCCAGATTGGGCACGGGGGACATTTTCAGCCTGCCGCTTTGTACGTAGCCTCTGGCCCCCATGGTGATATTAGAAAGTCAGATGTTTTCTCCAAAAAGCAGGCTAAGCCCCAGCAGAAGTGCAAACCCTGATGGTGGCACAGCACTAGGCACCAACCTCTTCTGCAGCTCACCCATCCTAGGAGCACCTTCCACACCAGGCTCTGAAGACCTCCATGGCGTACAGCTCTGGATAAAGCTGAAAAAACAAACCTCCGTGCAACCTAGCAGGAAGCTCAGCCCTTGCGCAAGAAACCTCACGCCAAGAAACAGGAGACAGAGGGGAAGTCACCCATGCCAGCTGGGGAGAAGCAGGAAGAAAGGCACAACTGCCCCTTCCAGCATCTCCAGCCCTGTAACCCCCAGGAAGGCTCCAGCACTCTCTGCTTAAAAATATACCTCCCAGTGGGGCTGTTCCAGGCAGCTGCCAGCTCAGCGAAGGCTTCAGAGCTTGTGAACGCTCCCTTGGCTCACCAGGAAAAAATGAAGCTGGCGCTTACCAAACGTGTGACCCCCCTCTTCGGCTGGAGCTGCGGGGACAGAAAATTGCAGATGTTGGTGTTGGGGAACGACAGGGTGGCTGGCTCAACGCTGTTCCTCTGTCGGAAAGGAGGGAGCCATCTGCTAACACCTCTGCTTGCTGACAGCCTGGGATGTGCCCCCGCAGTCAAGCGAAACCTTCGAGCCCCGGCAGGGCTATTTCTGTCCTGGTTTTGCACGGGGAATGTATTTCAAAAGCCTCTCCTTCCCACCCGGCTGGGTCAGGCTGGGGGCACTGGTACCCACCCTGAGCTGCTGGGATCCAGCAGAGACTCCCGGGGCTGTCGGGGCTGTGCAGCGGCTTGGGAACTGCAAGATGTGTGGAAGTGTCCAAACCCTGCAGGTGATCATGGGCAGAGAGAGACTCAGCCCCTTCTCAAGCAGCCTGCCCGAGCCCCACCACCAGCACAGGATCATCCCATCCCCATCCCTTCCCGTGAAGGCTGAGCCCAACTTCTCCCCAGGCAGCTCCTCTGGTCCCCTCCTCCCTTCCAAGCTTGGCAATATTTCATCTCCAGTATCTTTCCCTCTTGCTACCAGCCTGCTGCAGGGGAACATCTGTGGAGGCTTTCTGTATCTCCTTCATGGTGATTGCCAAGCTCAGGTGAGAGCAGCATTCCTCAGGACACCTTTTCCTCCCAAGCCCAGCAAACACAGTGGGAAAAGATCACAGGGCTCTCCACGCTGCCCTCCCTGGGCACAGCTCCCCCACCTGAGGCACACTCCTGCCCCAAGTACTAGCTTTTAACTCAAGGCGCCTCCCTTTCCTCAACTGCAGGCAAGGACCATCATCTTGGCCTCTTCTGTGGAGATTTGGAGACGCAGAAAAGCTGTAATTGCTATTTAACAGAGAGAAAAGCAGCCCACAGCCACCTACCCATCAGGCCTGCAGCTGCCAGAGCTATCCTGCCACCATCTCTGACCAAATAAATTTGGCCAAGGAAAATGGATGATACGTGGCACTTCAAGCATCTCAAAAACTTTATTTATTAATGTACGACTGGATGAGCTTCTGCTGTGTTTGCCTCAGCAAAGCATCAGGCCCCCCACAGCCAGTTTAGAGACTTCAAAAACACGTGGACGTGTTCAAAGTCCTTGCAGAGATGCTCCTACTTCCCAATCACTGTAGGGATGCACGAGCTTGGCAACTGGCAGGCAAACCCATGAGAAGAGCCTGTCGCCTGCACTGTGGACACGCAGCTGGAGTCAGGCTTGAGGGACATCAGGACAAGAAGAGACTCATTGGCCACCTAAAGCAGTCACCCACCATCTTGTTTAATGTGAGAAGGGCAGTTCTCATCCCAGCAGTATTAATTCGGAGAGCTGCTATGTCCCAAACCCACTCCCTGATGCATCTGGAGTATTCTCACGTCCCCAGACCGGGCAGCCTCTCCCTCCCCTGCCCGCTGCACGCCTGTTCACTTGGCATGTTGTCACACTGTCCCTTAATCTGCAGGACTTCCCAATGCAGCCATTCAGGATGCAAATTAAGAGGGACTCCATGGGATTCGGGGTTTTTAATGTGCTGAACAAGGCAGCAGGGATTTTTGAACACACTGCTGGGTCGCTGCACAGCGAGGACTTCGGAGGCAGAGCAGATGCTGGGAGGTGGGGGAACACCTGCCCATCTCCCAGCACCTGGGAAGGTTGATCCCAGGATGTCTTGGACATGCTGCCACCGCTCACTTTGGAGAAGAGAAGGAGCATCCCCCCCACCTCACCCCGCTCACTGCCTCTTCTCTGCCCTGGGGAGCTGCAGATGGAGCAGCAGAAGGAAACTACCCGGCTCCTACTTGAACAAAGCAGTCTGTAAGCAATGGCACAGACGTGGTTACAAAGCACAGCCTGAGCTCCCCAGCAAGGTCTGCAGATGGAAGCCTCACCCTGTATTTTACCTGTCCAACAGCTTCCCTACTGTGAAGCCACAGAAGCCTTCAAAGGACTTGAGGACTCAGGAAACTTGGATGGGAGAGAAGTCACTCAGGCTGGGGGAAAAAAAAAGCCTCAGGGCTGGGGAAAAATGTCAATGGAAAGAGGGCTAGGAAAGCTCAGTTTTAGGGAATCAGATGTTCCTCAGAAAAACACGCATGTGGTTGTGGCTTTGCTTGTGCAAATGAGACCTCTGTGCCAAATATGCACTGTGGTGGGGCAGAAGGCGCCATGGCGTAAGTGCTATGCCAGGGGCCTAAGCAGTGGCGAGGGTCAGAGTGAAATCTTATTGGCTTGGGAGACAGCAGCTACCTGAATGCAGAATCGGTAGAGAAAGTTAGTCCCTGCTTGGCCAGGCTGGGGACAGTCCCCTGTTAGGGTCCTGGCCACGCAGGAA